TTGTGCAGGGCTGCTGCTGCTACGGTGATGCTGGCAGGATGTCGGCTTTCTCAGCCTTCCATGCCAAAGGATAAGGGGACGTCAGGAGGAGGCGGGGGGGCCAGGTTGTTTTGAAAGTTGTTTGTGTGTTGAAAGCCGGTGGGAAAGTTCAGGCTTCCCCATTTGGAAGAGGCAAGGCTGGGTTCCGCTCTTCCAACATGCGCTTTCCATTTTTAGCTTCATTCAGACGCAGACAGCGGCTCCTTTCCTCTTCCTCTCCTTGTTTGTGACACTTTTCTGAGGCAGCTTTTCCACAGGCGACTAAGTGGTCTCGCGGCCATGACCCCACGTTTTCTTCAGCACGGAATATTTTTTTCTCTGAAGCATTAAGGAAAGGGTCTGAAAGAGGTAAAGCAGTTGTCAGCCTAGGGATTTTTTCCTCTGATTTTGTTCCCTCATTATTACCAAGGCTGGCATTTTAAGGCGCTGCTTCAGTCACAGCAGCTTCGTTTACACTGCTTTTTGGCTATTACTCAACTGTACCAACTATCCTGCATACGCTTTTAAAGTGTCACAGACTACTGTATTAGTCACGCTGTATCAACGGAAACCACAACACTGAAGGACAATGAGGATTAAAGGCTGTTTTCTTTTTTTCCAGGCTGCTACACAGTGTAGCTCGAACACTGTGAGTTTCAAGAATCTGGTGAAAGGGAGAGAGTGGACAATGAAAATGGACATGGAGGATGCTGACATGACTCTGTGGACAGAAGCTGATTTTGAAGAGAAGTGTACATACATTGTAAATGATCACCCGTTGGATCCCAGTGCCGATGGAGGCACCCTAACTCAGGCAGAGGCTTCCTTGCCAAGGAACTTGACTTTTAAATATGCATCTAACTGCAAAGAGGTAAGCGGCAACACTCTGGGGAAGGTTGGAGTCAGACAAGGCACATCACAGCGCTTTGGAAAGCGTGTGCCTGTCTTTGATTCTTTTACATAGACAAACACACGCCCTACCAACAACAACAAAAGCTGCCCACTAGCTTTTATTATGGGACCCTAATAACTTTTTTAAGAAACTGTGAGATGGTCATCTGTTGTGTAATATTTTCATTGAAAATTGCAGCCAACTTATCCCTGACACTGGTTCTGTACCAATTCGCAAACAGTTAAATTTTCACGCAATTTGAACAGCATCTGAATAAGCATATTTAAACTGTGGGGTAGTTCTCTGTGCCAATTTCTAGACTGCTGTTTGCCAGGACCATTCATTGCCTCTGGCTCAGAGATTAAAGTGCCTCGGTTGTCCAATAAATAGCTTTAAAAAACATAGAGGGGGGAAAAAACCCCCCAAATTCCTGGAAATGTGTTTAATTATTTCTTTTTTGTTTCCCTTTGGTTATGAAATTGCTTTATTCTTTTCGTAAACTTGTTGTATTCCCGACTTCCTAAATTCTTAAAAACTCCAGCGCTCTGGTTAAGGAAGTAATGGTAGGACTGTAGCAAGCTTGACAGAAGGGTGGCCGTAGCTTAAATTAACTTTTGTTTATCTGGGACAGTATCTTCACTGGTAGCTAGCTGCGTGAGTCTGTCCTATCCTTGTCCCTGGAGTGGGTACATTCTTTGTTGTTGTTTCAGAAGGGCTGGAAAGAAATGAGCCCGGATGAGCAATTTGGTTTTGTGTTTACTCCTTCATATAGAGTAGCTATTATAGCTAGGTGTGATGTTCGTAGGGTAATAACCCAAGGGACAACCCTTCATTTCTCCTTGTGCTGAGACTTGTGGTATAGCAACTATTACCTGTGCTTCTGCTTTGGCTAAACACACTGACCACAGAGCTGAAAAGAAGAGGTACACTCATCCGTGCCTATCAAATATTTCCTTCCAGAGCAGGTACTTGTTTAATCCTGTGTACAGAAATAGGGCCAGACTCCCAGCTGAAGGGTGTTGACACCGTGGAATTTAGCTTGGCAGTGCCTAATACAGTGCCTAGTAGGTTTGGTAAGAGGTAAAAGCTAAATTCTCCGTAAAATCACTCTTCTCTTCCCATCCGCCCTGCCCTGCCCTGCAGAACTTTGGCAGAGAAAGGTCATGCTCCAGAAAAAAAGTGTGAAACCTTGCTTTGTGTTATTGCATTGTTAGATAGGTTTTACTTTGGCAAGAGCAGGGAAATAAAGCTGTGACTGTTGTATGATGTGAGAGGATTTCTTGGTTGAAGGATGAGCTTGCAGCACGACAGCTCGGGCTGATCCTTGGCAGCCAGCTGGTGACTGGCTGCTGAGGCTGCTTGCTCTCTCTGCCCCTGTTGAGTCGTCCTGTTGCAGCTGGAGATACCTGAAGAGCTTTCAAAATTCCCAGCGCTGTGTTTGGAAACACCGAGATGTAATTTCCTTACTCTCTAGCTTAGATCAGTGTATCAGGGTAGGAGGATTGCTGCCATCTCTGTATAAGAGAGACAGGGGGAGAGGGAAGTTGTTGAAAGATTGTTAGTTCTTCCTTGTAAAATGTGACCTGTGCAGCTCCCTGCTAGTGGGAGTCTGAATATAGGACATCCTCCTTTTGTTCTCCTAAACTCCCCCCGGTCTTTTATTTGTGCTGAATTGCACCTACCGTAAGGAGTAATAGGAACTTTCAAACCCTGACTATCTCTAAGGTAGCTCTGGAAGAAAAGGCTGATATGATGGTTTTTTTGCCCACCTTCTGTGAAAGCTACTGTCCCTACTGCATGTACGGACAGGTCACTCATTTGCTACTCATCTGAAGGGTGAAGTAGTTGTAATTGGCATAATCTGCTTGCATTCTAGCTACTTTTGGCATGAAACATTTTTCTTTCTGTCTGCCTTCGAAGTTTGATTTTGTTCAGTGGGGTCAGGACTGGATGTGTGTATTGCTCCTGCACATCAGTGTTTATGGGGTCAGTGAGGGAGCCTGATTCTGGTTTTGACCTCATGGAAAAGCACTGGAGTCCTGACAGCTTGATAGGGTGGGTTTTTTCACTTACGAAAGGATGAAGTAAGACTTCAGGGGATGCGTGCATGCGTGTTTGGCAGTGGGTTTCAGACGTGAGCTGTCTTCGTTGTTAACTCTGGGGAGAGCTGTGGCTTCATCTGGCCTAGAGTTTTAAATGCTGAGTCAGTTTATTGTCAAAAAACATATATAATACATCGCTTGTGAAATGCTAATACTGTCATGATTAGATCATGAAAATCCTAGTGTTGTGATGATTAGTATTGTGTCTCCGGTTGGATCAGGAAAAGTACTGCGTGCCTTCTTAGGAGGGAGGAAGTACAACTGCTGTTGTTTGGGGAGGGTTGCTTTTTCTGTTTCTTCTCTTTGAATGCTTTGTGGAGCGAGTAGCTCTTCTTTAAAGGTTTGTGCAATTTGCAAGGGAGCCCATGACACGTCATCATACTCTTGTTTATTCTTGGATCTTGATCAGGGACTTTTCTGAAGGACACATTTTTTGTTGTGAGTTCACAGAATGTGTCAGCATTTTAAAAAATGAATTACTACTGCTCACAACATTTTAGGCTGTTAGATTTGCATGAAGTCATTTATTTATTTCTATGCATGAATTATTTATTCTTTCCTCCAGTTTTGGCAATTGTCAAAAAATGAAGAAATGTGGTGTTAGGTTCATGTTCTAAAAGGCCACATGTGAATGATCTTTTCATGCAGACGTTTAAAAACATTGTTTTTCAATAATTTTTTCTTTGGTCTCAGTGCTTAAAGCCCCAACAGCTCTTGATATAAAGTGCCAGTTACTCTGCTATCTTGAGTATTACTAGTGCCTCATCCTGGTCTGTGAGCTTAGACAGAGCAAAACATACCTCAGCAAACCACCCATTGCATTTGTATTTCTCTAATAAGGCCATTTCTTCAGATCCTGAATCAGTGATTTTGGTGAAAGCAATGATTTTGAGCTGTTACAAAGTGTGCCTCACTGACCTTAAACACTTGCTCCCCCCTATTGCTTTTATTCATTTTATATGTTGTCACTGAGGAAAGCATTTTATTTTGTGGCATCACTTTTAGAAAACTGGTCACTGAACAAAGGGGTGAAAATTATGTAATGTAGGACTAGTAGTTAAAAAAAATTTAAAATCAGTGTTATTCCAGGACACATGATGGCCTGTCGTGTTTGCATGTGGAGAATACTGCTGTTCTAATGAAGCCAGTAATGAAGTAAGAGTTAGTTCAGTGTTTTGGAATTTTTAAGCAGCTGAGTGGGTCCCATTGCAAAATACCCTTCCCTTGCAGAGTTATCAGGAGTCGTTGTTTACTTCAGTGCCCTCTCCCCAGACAAGGATGTAGGAGCGTTGATCTTCCGAAGCGCCCTCTCAGATCAGATTTGGGACCGGAGTCCGTCCGGCTCATGGCCGAGGGCCGCGGGCAGGCCGGGATGCGCTGACTGGGCCAGGCGGGCCCCGGGCGTGCCCGGCCCCCGGCGCCGCATTAGGACCCTGGTCAGTTCCAGGGCCGCCGTCCCGGGCTCCCGCCGACCCCGGGCTCCCCACGCCGGGCCTCCCCGCGGGCGGCCGCGCTGTCCCCGCCGGCCCCGCTCGCAGCCGGCCCCGCTCGCAGGCGGTTCCGCGGGAGCGCCCCGGCCCGCTCGGGCAGCGGCGAGCGCAGCTTGGCCGCAGCAGCGCCGTGCGGGCTCGGGCTGCCGCCGGGCTGCGCCTTCCTGCTGGAAATGCTGCCGCACTGAGAGGAGGGATGCGGCGCAGTGCTGGGAGCTCTGAAGCGAGAGGGGCTGAGCGGCTCTGGAGAGGAACCTGTGGGCTCAGTCGCGCGTGTCTGCCGTGCGGCGCGGTCCGGGCCCCGCGGGCAGCGCCCGGGCTCTGTTTTCGGGGAGCGCCCGCGGCTCCCGGCAGGGGCTCCCCGCCGAGGGGACACCTGGCGGACGGAGCTCCGAAGTGCCGCTTTGGCACAGCCCTCCGGCAGCCCGGGAACGGTTCATTCCCGGCTCCAGACCTGGAGTTCCGCCGCTGTCCTGCCTCCTGGCCCTCGGCAGCTCCCTGCTTCCTGACCTCTTATTAAGCCGGCCCTGCTCCTGCGGCGGGGCAGGAGCCCCTGTTGGCTCTGGCAGGGGGTTTGCCGGCAGTTTGGAGCCAACCTGCCTTGCCACTGCTGGCACCCTTCTTCTGGAAGGTGCCCCTCATCGACCTCCACAGCTGAGCTTGTGGGGGGGCATGGTGAAGGCCAAGAATTGCTGACCAGAAAGCCACCCTCAGTTAAAAGTCATCTGGGCAGCTTTAGGCTGGATTAGCAAAATTTCAGTGTTGGCACACACGGCTGTGCAAGAACATCCTCTGCCAAAACAACTTTCTGATGGGTACAGGGTGAGGACTCATCTTTGTGTTCAGCTACACCGGGGAAGAAGCAAACACTGTCTGTAAGGTGGATATCAAACAGTATCTGCTGTGTCAGAGACTGTTTCAAGTTGACTAGTTCAAGGAGTGATTTCTAGAGATTCTGAGAATTTCATTAAAGTCATTTTAATTAAGGCAAAGATATTTTTAAAACCATGAAAAAAGTCAAGCTATCATGTAGTAAAACTGGTGGAGTGTGCTGTAGCTTGGTTGTGAACTTTTCTTGAGAGGGCAGATGGATGTAAATGAAGATATATAGGGAAAATGAGAAGAACATCTGCCTTTTTCAGCTCTTTATGAGACAAGTACAAGCAAGACAAAAATAAAACTGAGCCACTGAGCTTGTTTCAGCATATGGTAGGTGTAGGAAAATTTCTGGAAGTCCTTCTTCTCTCCCTTCAGTCCAGATGCACAGATCAATGGAGCATTTAACTACCTCTAATGCTGATGTTTAAATTTTTTGGTAGTGTGCTGAAACACATGTTGAAATGCAAATGAGTACAAACAGCCACAGCATACACCCAACAATCTGTTTCCAGGTGATTACTTGATTCCATGGCTGTCATTTTCCCCCTTTATTTCAACATTTAACATGAAATTATGCTAGGTAATAGTTGTCTACTGGGATTTTTACTCTTGACCAGTACACAGGCAAGGATTTCTCTATCTCTTTCTTATATGCTAAGGGTCATACAACAGAAGAAAATGTAGCATGAGAAAATCAGAAGGCTTAGCTAATTTGTGAAGGGCTGTCTCCATACAGCCTGGGCTCTCTACCACCCTTTGCTGAGAAGGACTGTTAAAAAGAAAAGCTCACTGAAATGAGCTATCTGTAGGGTCTGATGAGTGCTAATCTGATTTGGTGAGGACATCGATTCCTTGTGGGCTACAGACAGCAGTAATCACAACTTTTAGTGTTCATCAGCCGCTTCTGATGCTCTTGTCTTGTTCTGAAATCCTGGTGAGCAAAAAGACAAGTGGCAAGATGTGTGAAGGGGATATATTTAATTCAGTTTCATTAATGAACTTTTTATCTTCTTTTTTTTTTATACTATCTGAGCAGCAGGATCAATCTTGCAAAGGCTTAGGGGTCTTGGTTTACAAAATCACTCGGTTTTTAACATCATTTGGATACATTAACTTTAAGAAGATTAGTGAGAAACAGAGAGACAAAACCAGTAACTCAGCAGTGTTTTGCAAAGGGTTACTCCAAGGCACGTTCTTCTGAATAATGATGAATTGCTTCCTGATTTGTGGTCAGTGACTTTTTTTGGTGTAATTACTGTCAAGAAGGAAGCTGAACAACCAGAGTACATTTCTTAGACCTACCATAGTGGAGCATTTTCTTCAAAACCCTTATGACTTTTTGACCAAACCCACTTGATATATGTTACTGGAACTGCTGATTCCTTTTTATAAAAGAAGGTGACCTGTGAGTACGTGTCCCAAACCCATTCCATATTCTGGTTTGTATGCCACTGCATGCTGGTAAGAGAACTGTAGGTTGTCTTTTTTTTGTTTTGTTCTCTTTTTAGCTATCAGGGTGGGTGTAGAGTGAAGAATGGAGGAGGGTGGAGGGTGGTTTCATTTTGATCTGGAGGAGCAGTCATTCCAGTTCCTAACTTATTAGAAAAGTGAGTTCTGTAGCAGTGAAGTGATTGCTAGATATTGAATATGTTTTTTGCTGAAACTAGACTTTTGGGGGTTACCTCTGATAGGAGAAATAACTTCTGAAGATATTTGATAGTCTCTGCACATTTCACTTACTATTTCTTTTTGTAAATATATTTCCACAAAATCAGTTTTTAAGGTGGTATTCATCATTGGCTTCCACATGTCTGGGTAAAATGCTGATATCTTACAAAGCTCTTTGTATTGCATCCAATGTGACTATTCATTTATTTCTGTTTTGCTGACCTGTCACTAAAAATTTGTTGTGTTGTCTGCTTTACTTTAAGGGGGACAGGGGAAAAGAGGAAGACTTCTCAGTTTCTGCTGGCAGTGAACTGATCCTGTGTTGCTCTTCTTGTAGGTCACTGGAGTTATAAGCAAAGAGTACATCCCAAAAGGAACACGCTTTGGACCCCTGGTAGGAGAGATCTATACCAGCGATACGGTTCCCAAGAATGCGAACAGAAAATACTTTTGGCGGGTAAGCAGGAAAAAATAGCACCATGTTGTTGCAGTAAGCAGATCGCTAAATGAGTAGGGCTGAGAAGCTGGGTCACTTCCTGCTGCAGACCCGTCTGATGCAGGGGACAGCCTCTGTACGCTGCCAGGCATGAACAGAGCCAGTGGGTGAATTAAGCTGACTAAAAGCCTGGCTGTAGGGACTGTGTGGGTGGAGAGAGCAGTGGAGATGCACAGCTCTCCTCTCTGTCACTTTGACTCTCTCTTCCAATACGGATCGGTGCTTGGTTCTGTAAAGAAATAGTTCTGCTGCTTGCTGTAAGGGTAGGCTGTTTTGAATTTCTTCACAGTGGAAAGTCTGTCTAGTTTATGAAAGTATCACGTCCTTGATTTTTCCCTCTGTGAAGAAGATGTGAAAGTAGTGCATAAACTTTTACTCTGGAATTATGATACATTTTGTGACATTTTTTCATAGGTTATGAATAGAACTGCTATAACACAGTGGTGGTGGTGGTGGTGGTGGTGTTCAGTGTATATCATTCAAGTAGTAAATGTTTCTAGTCCACCTCAGAATTGTTAGAAGAGAAGCCCAAGGATTTTAGAGAGGGGAAAAGAGACAAACACTAAATGTGGTGCCTAAACTGTACTCCACAGCATAAGCTGGAAGGGAGCACTAGCCAGTTTGTTTTTGCTTGGGCAGTCTGTGCAAGGGAATATGCTTCCAGTTTTTGAGGTAACATAATTCTCAGTTTCTTTACAGACCCATTATTACTTGTTAGAGGATATTCCTTAGTCCCATGTTCTTCCATAGATTTGTTTTGCTGCCTTCTAGCCACTTAGTTTGTGTCTAAATCTGTGGATTTGGGACTGTGTCCAAGCCTCTGTGCTCAGGTGCCTGCCTGCCTTAGTAATATCCCAACCTCATATCCAGGTGAAACCAAGGCCAAGCCCCAGCGTTCCCCATAACCCTTTCTTCCTACCTAATTGAATCATTTTGGTTTTCTCAGATCGTCTTTGTGCACTGTAATACAGCATTGCACGGGCAGTTATTTGCATGAGCATTTTTACAAAGCAGGGAACTCTTTTCACATTCATAAGGCCACAAAATGTTTCATTTTGATGAATTTTTGGGGAGCTTTTGGGCAGTATAGGAAGAATCTGGTACGCTGGCCCTAGTCCTGCCAGTTAATAAGACAAGCAGACACAGAGAAGAGGGACTGCTAAACATCTTGCAGGACTTCATTCGTATGTTGCAGCAAGAAAGATGACATCATTCTCATGATGTGATTTTAAGCCTTAATGCAGAGGGATCCTCAGAAAAGCTATCCTAGGAGCCATCTAAGCATCATTAAATTCTCTGTTATAATCTCTTGATTCATTCAAGACAGACTGCTGCACTGAAAATTAATTCCTTCCTAGGGGTCTGACACAGGCTTGCATATGCAAAGGAAATTGTGGGAGATAACTTTCCACATGTTATTAAAGGCATCCTGGGCTTGCTGGCAGAAGTGGGAACATCTGCTCTGTGCACGGGGAATGCTTGCCTGTGCCTTGCCCGCGTGAGGGGAGCAGGGCCGCCCCGGGGCCCACGTCATTTCTGGGAACAGCGCCGTGACTCAGCACATCTGGTCTCGCCTTCCCCAGAATAGGTGGGAGCCTGGTGGGTGCTTTTGCCAGGGGAGCCGGATCTGTGGCCCTGACGTGGGAGTGGTGGAGGGCTAGTTTGGGAAGTGGCAGCAGGCGTCAAGCGCCGGAGCCTCGCGTTCCTGGAAGTTTGTGAGCCAGGGTGAGCAGAGAAACCCGAAGGCTCCTCTTGATGCAGCATAACTCACCCAGCTCCCTTCCATTTTCTCATAACAAACACACCGCAAAATCTCTCGCAAGCTGCTTTGATGAGGCCACATGTATTTCCCCCTTCTCAGTTTACAGGAAGTTACTCTTAAAGAAAGTGATTCTGGTGTTTGCGGCCGGCGTTAAAGGGCCAGGCCGCCTCGCCCCTCTGTGGCTGTGGCTCCTGGGGAGCAGAGGAAGGGTCCTGTCCTGGCTGGCCAGTGGGCGCTCGGAGGGCCAGGGTGCGCTGCCTGGCCAGGTAGGTGCGAAAAACAGTAATGTGAACACAAAGACAGAAACACCCTGTGGACCTATGATAAGCTCTGTCTCCCCTTTGGAAAGGCATTTCCTGCTCAGCGAGGTGCATCTCTGGTGCAGGCTGCTCTCACTTCAGGGTTTGGTTTTTGCCTGGTCATCTCTTTTGTGAAACCCAGGAACCCCATTTCATCCAGCACAGAGCTAGTTCCCTCCAAAAGTAAGCAATGTGTTTTTAACAAACATGTCTGCTGGATTTTCCTTGATTTTTTTTTTTTTTAAAGTAGTCCTCTTATTCTTACCATTTTAAGAAACAGTACCTTCTGTCAGTGATTGGGACTTCTTTCCCTTAAACCTGCTAAGCAGTTTTTAAATTCGTGTTTTCTTTCTCCTCTGTGGACAAGTCAGAGCATGTCCCTTGATAAGAAAAGTGACTTCTCATGGGCTAACCCCTCTCCAGGTCTTCGTTAAGTTATGGCCTGAATCTTTGCCTCACCCAGCCGTTCTACAAAAGGGTTGCAGTTCAATTATGAGCAAGTGTTGCTTTAGGACTCTGGTGGGGGGTGGAGAATGTTTGCATAGTTTAAACCTTTGGGTGGAGGTGGTAGGAAACTGCAAGTACAGAGCCATAGAAAAAGGCGAGAAAGACTCTGACGTAGCACAGCCAGTCTGTCTTATGGGTGACTCAAAGCATTAATGCAACATGCACTCAGACCTGCAGTCATCAGCATCACCCACTTGTTGATCGTAGCACCAGGAAAAGGACTCTAAGGTAGACTGTTCACAGGGAGAGTACTCTGCATTTCAGATTTTGTGTCTTATGTCTTGTTTTCTCATACTACCAGAGACACAGGCTAAGCTGAAATGGGAAAGGTGACTGTGTATTTATGTTTGAATACCTTTGTAACTCTCAGGATGTCATAGTTGGAAAGGCGGGAACTCAACTTGGACTTTTATTCCAGTGATATCTGCTCATTAGAAGAAAAAAAAGCTTATTGTTCCCCTCCCCCGGACTCTGTACGTACATGTTGCGTGTAGTGCATATATATATATATATTCATAAGCACTTCCTCTCTATTCTAGATCTATTCAGGTGGTGAGCTTCACCACTTCATTGATGGATTTAACGAGGACAAGAGCAACTGGATGCGTTATGTAAACCCTGGCTACTCTGTTCAGGAACAGAACTTGGCTGCTTGTCAGAATGGAATGAACATCTACTTCTATACCATCAAGCCCATCCCTGCCAACCAAGAGCTGCTTGTATGGTATTGCCGAGACTTTGCAGAAAGGCTGCACTATCCCTCCTCCAGAGAGCTGACAATGATGAACCTCAGTAAGTGGATTACAGTATGAGCAAAGAATGCTAGTAATGTCTCTTCTGCCTATACGACCTAATAATAAGTTGTGTAATTATACAGCTGCATCACCTGTTGTGTCACAGTGGGCAGCTTGGAGTAGAAAAGGTGAATTAAAAAGCCCAGAACAACAAATTGAGTTCCCTGTGCCTGTTGAAATTATAAATACATTATAAAAAATCTGAGCAGTTGCTGGTTTACGGTCTGAGTCTGATCTGATGAAATTCTGGATGGACAACCTGAATATATCCTTTGCCTTCAGAATCATAGTTGTTGGTTCACTCTCAGACTTTTCAAGTCCAGATCTCACAGTGTGTTGAGCAAAAGTCTGTTTTGATAGCATATACTAAAGGCTGTCCAGTCATGCTGCCAAAGGGCTGCCCTCACTGTACCGGGAAGTGGCCATGTGCCATGACTCTGTCTAGGTGTCTGACATAATACTTGTTTACTGCATAATGCACTTTGAGCCTTGCATCTACACTTATTTATCTTATGGGAGCAAACCTCCTGTGGTCTTCTCATCGGGTTACTTGTTTTTTTAAGCTTAGTGCACTTTGTCCCCATTTCTTGGCTTTATAGCGCAGCTTTCGTTTTCTGTTCAAAAATAATAGCACTGGTAGCAGAGGGGAGAGGTGTTTCCAGGAGTTTATCTCTGTGTTCCTCTGTGGTTTCTGACCATTTCCAGTCTTGGTGCTTTAGTCATAGCTTAATCACTGCCTGGCACCTCACCCAGAGCCCCTTGAAGAGAGGGAAAGATCCTTGCTGACTTGTTAATGGACTCTTAGGCTGCCTGCCCCACAGCCAGCTGCTCTGAGGTAGAGCAAAGCATTCCTTTGTCCTTCTGCCAGTGCCTACACTGAAACTTGAAAGAAAAACCAAGCAGATTTTTTTTTTTAATGATAAGAACTTCTTGCAGTCATTTGGAAACAAGGGGTTGTAAAATATCAGTGTTGCTTTGGGGATCATTAGAGCTAAAATGTCTTCCCGTATCATAAAAATGATGTCACACACTCAGATTAATCAAAAATACATCTGTCCCCTGTGGATGTCATCCATTCATCAGTTTTTGTCTTTCCTTACGAACGAATAGAAGAAAATTTCTTGTCTTCTAATGGCAGGGGGAAGAGAGGGAGGGAATGTCCTACGCAGCTGTATTCTTTATTCAAAAACTGTCTCAGTGATTCTGTCATCTTTGCACATATGTCATTTCACCACTCTCTGTGCAGTTTTATTTCCTGATATGATGAACTGTTGGCTTTTCAGTGGGACCTGCAGGTGGGATGAGACAACAGCATTTAGAGTTCCTGTGGATGAGGAGTTTGCAAAGATCTAGCTAGGAGGATACACAAATCCAGGATTGGTTTCCTGCGTCTTGCTGGTACCTTAGGTTTCCTTGCAGAAGTAGCAATGAATGTATTTGTAAAGTGTTAGAGTGTTTCTTACTGTGTCCAGTTACTCTTACTCAGATCAAAATGTGGTGTGTCTGGACACAGCAGAATAACCCATTTTTGTAAAAGTAGGCTCAATATGTGGATTTAAAGAAATGGGATTGTGAGCCACAGTTGTGTAGTTCAGCCTTAACATTTGCAGTATTTCTAGTTGCTGAAATTGAAATAACCATTCTTCTCTTTTAAGATAACTACATTTAAACCATTTCAAAATTTTATGTTAGCTTTCTCTGCCTAAAGAAAGTAGCAGTTCAGCAAAATAAGAAAAAGTTCTCACTTTTTTTTTATTTTCCCCCCTCATTTTTGTGATAGACATATTCAGGCCTAAAGCCTGCAGTTGGGCCAAAAACCCTGCAGGTACCATAAAGATTGAGGTTTTCTAAAGTTTTGGTGCCCTTTTTTGAAAAGTACAGAAAAAAAATCTAGAAGCCTCCCAAAGATGCTTATTTGCAGAAGGCCCTGTAGCAACAGTGCAAGCAGGGATGGTTTTTCCAGCATTAGTACTGGAACTAGATGAGTTCAAAGTGAATGCCAGCACTGTTTAGTTTTCTTCTGCCCCATCTAGGGTGTGCAGAGCACATTGGTGCCTGCAGGAGGCTTTGGAAGAGCCGTACCTTGGTTGGCTGCCCAGACCAGGACAGGAGAGGCCACCTGGGACACACACCTACAGAGACCTTCAGGCGGCTGCTTTAAGTGCCTCAGGGGATTGAGGATCACGATCTTGGAGTTTAGCATTTCAGTTCCTCTTTAAACACCAGAGCAGGATGGGCCTCTGGGGAAAAATGTATCAGGGAATTTCTCTGGCTTTATTTCCTGTAATTAGTGGCCTCAAAAATGAGAGAACTACCACTTTAGAGCATAAATATATTTACACATCCACATATAACATCTATTTGCCACTTGCCTCTGTAACAGCAAACTTTCAAATTAAAGGTAACTTACCCAGCGTTAGTTCATTTGTGCCCTGTAGAAGGAAAGCATCCAGATTCAGGACAGCAATTAGGCATGTACTTAGTTGTGGGTTTAACCCTGTCCTCTGTGTTTTTTTGAACTGGGGCCTTTGACCCAGTCCTTCAGACGCTGGAGCACACACCTACCTTCACAGCCATGATTACCTCTGAGTGGAGCTACGTAACTTCGAGTGGATGTTGAAGTGCCTGCAAGGAGTTGCACAATAGTGGTAGAGGGAAAACTCCACATTATCCCAGCGGTAGAAATTCAGTCTCGTTTTAATCAATCCCCTTCCCCTTCTTGCCTGTTTGCCTTCTTGCATGTTTTCTGTCAGGATTTGAGATGTCACCTTCAGATGGTGCCGTTGTCCAGGAAATAGCGTTAAGTATGGGGGCACATAGATTTCTACATTTTGCTGGCCAAAAAATAAATTTTTGGTAATTTGTTAAATGGGCTTAAACTTCATTTAGCTGCTTCTTCAGATTGTCTTTTAGTCTGTGATATTTTATATTTGGACTATTTAGCAAACAGACTGAAGAAATTTGCTTCTGGGTTCCCACATAGTTTAACATTTCATTCTTACCTCATCATGGGAGGATTGTTTTGGATGGAGGGTGGAGAGAGTAACAGTTAAAAAACCCCAAAAACAAAACCAACAAAAAACCCCCAACAAAAACGCGACAAAATCCAAACAATTGCATTGACTCAGGACATGACTATTTGATAATAATGTTCATATATTGCAATCATATGATGCAACTTCCTGCTGCTCTGTCATGTTTGTCTCCTCGGTCAAGTGCGGGCAGGTGACACCTTTTGGTCAAGCTTCAGGAAAAAAAGTTCAAGTTGGAGAAAGACAATTTGCATATTTACAAAATATTTGGCAATCTTTTTGTTTCATTAGCAGGTTTAATGAGGCATTATTTTAAATGTTTCAGGTTCTATGAAGATTAACTTTTTAATGCTTTTTTCTGAAATGCAGTTTATTCTTTTCTTCTTCTTCCTGCTGGCCCTGACATGCTGGCCGTTAGCTCAGCCCTGTCGCTCGCTTTCCCTTTTGTTTATGGGCAGTTTCACTTTCTGGTTTTGAAGCTTTTCTGTTTGGGTTGAGAGGAAACATCTGCACTTGCTTAAGAAAAATGCCTCCTGGAATGTTCAAAAGGGCTCAGGAAAAATTATTTCTAAATGATATGAAAGGTTTTCTTCACAAAACCATAATTTGGGGGCTAAAGTTGGACTTAATATGGGGGATTATTTGAAGGCTCCCTTAAAGACCTTCTCTGAGCAAAAAGTTTTCAAAGCCATGTCACCCTTCCTTGGACACATTCAGAAAACAGATGAACAAATCATGTACTTCTAAATGTTGGTCTCCATTCTCATTCTGAGTGGAAACAGTCTTTGTTTTGCCCGCTCCACAACTTCGAGGTTCTCTTACTACTAGCAAAAGAGGTGCTTAATTTAGATCGAAAATGTGAATCGGCATAATTAAGCTTCACCGCTCGAAGTGTTCAGTACCATCTCACTCCTGAAATCACTTCTGAAATTACTGTCTGCCTACAACCGTTTTTCAAGTTTTTAGAAAAAAACAGATCATTGTTTTTATGAAATCTTTCTCAGGCTACAGCTCAGAGCACGAGAACCGAGAGCAAAGCCTACAGCTCTGCAGCAGTCTGTAGCTGGAACACCCACATTGGAGTGACTTCAGGCAGCCCCTCCACTCAAGTTTTATTGATGCTTAAAAGTAACAGGAGTTTTGTCCTTTTTTCCCCTTGCACGCACTCACTAATCTCAGATCTAACCAAACAATTTAATCTGTTGACCTCAGTTAGAAGTGGATCGGGCTCCTCAAGAGGCACGTCTGGAGGTTTTTTTCTTTCTTTTTTCCCCCTCTCCTCTCAGATCAGTAACTTAGAAATGCAGCTGCACTGTTCTTGTTTTGTCACAAATCTCTTTTCTGTGTCTCTCTGACCACAGAAACTAGACAGATCTTGGAAGAGTATGTGCCTATATTTAGTGTGTAGTGTGTGTGTGTATGTATGTGTGTAGATGGGGGCGGCGGGGAGAAATGCCTTTCAAGAGTGAGAGGGAGACCTTCTGATTAGTAAAAACTTAAATCTAAGATCACAAGTTAAAAAAAAAAAAATTCATTTTTAAAAAATATATCTCTTTAAATTTGAAGTGTGGCTGCTGTAAGAGCAACAAGAAAGGTTGTAAACCTCTCAATCAGTTTCAGCTCTGGTTTAAATCCACTTTCAGTATAAAACTTGAGAGTCTCTCCTTGGTCCACAACATTACCTTCTCTTATTTTACATAGTGCTGACACACTTGTTTATGTTTTGATCTCTCTGATGTTCCCAAGTGTCCCTTGTGCTCAGGTAATAAGGGAAAAAGCCAAGAGAGGATTTATGGACCAAAAATAGCTTTCAAACTAAAGAGAGCTGTCACAGTTAGACTTGAAAAACAATCTTTAACTATCACGACTTCTGTCTACACGGGGAAATTAGTAGGAAGGAAAGCTTTACTGGGAAAATTCAGAAGGGAAGGAAAGAGCAATTATCTTTAGTCAATCAAGTGGGAGCGTGGGCTTGTTGCACAAAGAAAGTTTTGCTCTCTGCTTGAGCTTCCTTTCTGTCACTCATGGGCTTGCTCCCGTGTGTAAGGCACGTATGTCCCCACCCTCGTGTTTAACCTTGTGACAGTAGGAGCTGTTCCTCCAGCTGAAGCGGCCCTAGTTTCTCTATCGCTTTTCCAGCAGCACCAGCACTTCTCCTTCCTCTTCCCCTCCCCCTGGACTTTTTTTCTTTAGAAGAAAAAAGTGTCAGTTTGAACTTCCTGCTTGACAGACCCCACTGAGAAACTGATATGGGCCTGATAAGGTGGTATTTATTTATTTTTCCTGCTGTGAGGCTTCACAAGTCCCACTTCCCACCCCCTCCGCCATGCAGCTTTCAATACTGCCCAGTCTTGATACTTCCCGATGCTGATAGTGTCACCAGTGCAGTGTTTGCTCTTGGACACTGGTGTGGTGAAAGGCAGCTGATAAGAAGATACAGATAATATCCCCACTGCTATTGTAGAGTTTGTTGAACCTAGTAGGACCTCAGTATTATGCCCAACAATCTGGTGGACCTTAAGAAAATCAGTTACCAGTCCACGAGTACAGACAAAATGACCGAAGAAAGTAGATGATTTTTAAAGCCAGACAATGCAATGTGCTATTATTGAATTTTTGATACAGCTGTGCATTAAGCTTTCAACATTGAGAGGAGTAATCTGTGCATTTATGTGTGTATGTGCTTTCTGTACAACACCTCTGAGTTTTATCATAAATATTTTAATTGAATATTCGATTGCATTTCATCACAGCTTGAAAATACACAAACTGCTCACATATCTCAAACTAAATTTGCTTGCTAATGCCATTTGAAAAAGGATGCTACTGTAAAGTGGATTGCTGTGAGTAGGAGCATACTTTGAAAGCAGCTGTTTTGTTGGATACGTTTAATAAATGGTTGTTTCTTTGCCTTATAGGGTAATGTTGCCAAATTTTAGATTCCATCAGGGTAGTGAATAGTGAAGCAAAGAATCCATGTTGAAAGCAGCGTGGTCATTGCCTGTTCTCATATTACTTGCTGGGTTCAGATGATTCTGCAGAAATCAGAAATAGCTCCTTCTCACCTCAGATAGTGAAGTAAGAGCAGTCAGTCATGGAAGGAGAAAAGTGTCTAAAGGACTGTAATATTTTTGAGTCACATACATACCGGTGTTGATTTGTACCTCCTGATGGAAAGCTGTGCACATAACTAAGCATGATTATGAAACCTTCTTGTAGTTTTTACCCATAATAAAATATTTTACAAGTAATCAAGATTTTTTAATTATTAACTTAGATAAAAGCAGACTTCTTTTTCTACTGAAGACATCTTTCAGTGTACTGTCTACGTTTAGTATGTCCAAATAGCAAGGTCTTTGAATACAGATAAATGGAGTATGTGTTGAACTGAGATGAATGGATGCTAGCTTCTATTTCCTTCTAAATACATATTTCTTTTTCCTTTTCATTTTTTTCCCTTTTTTTTTTTTTTTTTTTTGCTAAAGTACATTTCAACTTAAGCTGGAGCCGACCAGTCTTGCTTTCTTTTGCTTTGCTTCAGCATTTTTTTTATAAAGTACAGCTGTAAGCAGAGGAGCTTTGCATAGACTGAATGCCACAGAAATCTGCAGTAAATAGTCTGCTTTGTTGTAGATGTTCCTAAGCAGTATATTTAATGAGTAATGATCTGTTTACTGATGGAGAATACCTTCGCTTTGAAGAAGGCTTTCATCCTAGCCAGCCATGGTTTTTTTGGTACTGTAAGTAATTGAACTGGCTGGTGAAGTGACTGCTGCGGTTTGGCAAAAGCTGATTTGTCATGCCTTGTTATTTTACTGAGGAGCATTTCTGGGAGCTTGTGTTCTGCAAAGTCCTGCTGTTAAACCTGTATTATGAACAAATGCTCCTTACGACATTTATTAGAAATACTGCTTAAAGACACAATCAACAGCAAAGCTAGTCAAATTTAAGGGAAAAGAAAGGTGAAATCAGTTTGCAGAGTGGAGACTAGCACTCTGCAAATGCATCATCATCCAGGTCTGTATGTACTGTCTGGCATCCCTTAAATTAACAATGCTTTTTATTAACACTTAATATCAGCAGGCATTTCTTCACACAAAAATTAGTCTTTTGGCAAGTTAAATGATTGCTCATCTCTGAGAGTAGCCCTTCCTTCCCACTAAACTTGTAGGAGGTAGATTGTGTTTTGAAAAGAGATAATACCAGTGACAAATCTAAGTAATCATTACCTTGTCTTTCTGTTTCAGCGCAAACCCACATTAATCCAAAGCAGCACAGTGCTGATAAAGATGAGCTTTATCAGAAGAGCATCCCAAAGAAGGAGCACAGTGTGAAAGAAATACTGAAAATGGAATCCAATCCTCCAAAAGGAAAAGACTTCTTCCAGACCAACATTTCACCAGTTACTCCAGAAAAGGACTTGGATGATTTGCGTAAGAACTATAGCCCGGAGAGGTGTTTCTTCCCTCGAGTTGTCTACCCAATCCGACCTCACATTCCAGAAGACTATCTGAAAGCTTCCTTAGCATACGGGATGGACAGACCCAGCTACATTACTCACTCACCCATCCAGGCATCTACTACACCAAGTCCTTCTGGGAGGAGCAGCCCAGACCAAAGTTTAAAAAGTTCAAGCCCTCACAGCAGTCCAGGGGTCACGGTTTCACCTCTGGCACCTACTTCCCAAGAGCACAGAGAGCCATACTCTTACTTGAATGGATCGTATGGCTCAGAAGGATTAGGGTCTTACCCTGGATATGCACCCCCTGGCCACCTCCCACCTACCTTTCTACCATCCTATAACCCCCACTACCCCAAATTCCTGTTACCTCCATTCAATATGAGCTGTAATAACCTGAGTGCTTTGAACAATATCAATGGCATCAACAATTTCAATCTGTTCCCAAGGATGTATCCTCTTTATGGCAACCTGCTCAGCGGAGGTAGCCTTTCCCACCACATGCTGAACCCCACCACGCTCCCCAGTTCATTGCCCAGTGAAGGAGGCCGTCGATTGCTGCAGCCTGATCATCCAAGAGACTTCCTCATACCAGCACCTAACAGTGCCTTCTCTATCACGGGCGCTGCTGCCAGCATGAAGGACAAGCCATGCAGCCCTACCAGTGGGTCACCCACCGCTGGTACAGCAGCCAGTTCGGAACACATAATGCAACCTAAACCTACCTCAGTGGTGTTGGCTGCCACCGGCGGTGAAGAAGCCATGAATCTCATTAAAAGTAAGAGGAATGTGACCGGTTACAAAACCCTCCCCTACCCACTTAAGAAGCAAAATGGGAAGATCAAGTACGAATGCAATGTTTGCTCCAAGACCTTTGGCCAGCTCTCCAATCTGAAGGTAGGCAGTGGAGAATGAGACAGGAGTCTCCTGGGAAGGGCTCAGATTTCTCCCTGTAGTTTTCAAGGAAAAGTGGAGACAGGCCTCCCTTACTTGTTTGGCTGTTTACCTGTCTGGGCTTAATACAGCATCCCCCACTCCCCACAGGAAATCGTGGTTGTGTGTTTTAGTGCTGATGCCACCCAGATAACACTGTATTTTGGCAATGGGACTCTTCCCCTGACTCTAGGAAACATCTGAAAGTACTTTTGTCGTAGTACTGGAAACTGCAAATTGTTAATTGCTTTGTTTCTCCATAGGTGCACCTCAGAGTACACAGTGGAGAGAGACCATTTAAATGCCAGACTTGCAATAAAGGCTTCACACAGTTGGCTCACCTCCAGAAGCACTATCTGGTACACACGGGAGAAAAACCCCATGAGTGTCAGGTATGTAACACACACAGAGACAGCTTCCCTTGCAGGCCGAAGGGATGGCAGAGCTTGTGCACATCCTGTATATGGTGTGCAGGGAGGGCTGAGTGACAAACCCTTGGCTGCTCAGGGCTGGAGTCCACACCACAGCCGTGCACAGCCCTGGTGCAGCAGCATCTGGGAGAGAGCAGGATTGCCTGTAGCCTGCTAGAGCAACATCTGCCTGATACAGTTTTGCCATCAACCACACTCGAAATGCCATTCACCATTATTTAAATAAAAAAGGTGGGGATTTTTTTTTCCCTTTGTGAGAAAGTGTGAAGATATAAAAAGCTGCTGCTTCATCCTGCTGTCTCCTCCTAGGTGTCTGTGATTTAAACCATAAAATCCCCTCCCACTCATTCACTGTTTCTCTGCCACCCCCAACATTAGGTTTGTCACAAGCGGTTCAGCAGCACCAGCAATCTCAAAACCCACCTGCGGCTCCACTCTGGAGAGAAGCCTTATCAGTGCAAGCTCTGCCCAGCCAAATTCACCCAGTTTGTGCACCTGAAGCTGCACAAGCGTCTCCACACCCGAGAACGTCCCCATAAATGCATCCACTGCCACAAGAGCTACATTCACCTCTGCAGCCTCCAGGTCCACCTGAAGGGCAACTGCCCCGTTGCTCCTGCCTCCGGCCTCTCCATGGAGGACCTGAATCGAATCAATGAGGAGATCGAGAAGTTCGACATCAGTGACAATGCTGACAAGTTGGAAGAAGTGGAGGACAATATCGACTTAACATCGATCGTGGAGAAGGATATACTGACCCTGCTCAGGAGGGAAATGGAAGGAGCTAATCTGAAAGTATCTCTACAGAGGAACCTGGGAAATGGGCTTATCTCGTCAGGATGCAACCTTTACGAGTCGTCCGATCTGTCAATTATGAAGTTGCCTCACGGTCACCCACTACCTCTGTTACCTGTAAAGGTCAAGCAAGAAACAGTTGAACCAATGGACCCTTAAGACTTTTTGGCAAAGTGATTTTTTTTTTTAATTTATGACTTGGCAAGTCAGGGTGCCTGTAACAGTTGCTTGTACATAGTTTCAATGCTGCAAAGCAATCTTGGCTTACAGTAGTTTCCCTACGCTCTCCAGCTGAAAGAAGGAACTCCAAAGTTACTGTTTTCTCAGGGCATAAAAAGGGGCAAAGGACTGTGCATTGCCTCGCCAGTTACTAAAAGACAATCATTTATCCATAACTATTTTTTCAATGATAGTACTTCATAATTTATTATGCAATTAATCATTCTAAAAGCAATAATTAGGAAAATGTTTACAATGACTGGAAAATTCATTGTAATTTTTACTTTAAATGTTTTTATTTTTGTTTTATGGCCATTCTTTGTAGATATTTTTTTCTGCACATCTGTTTTGAGAACCTAAGATTGGGGTTTCAGTTAATGTGTTTTATGTACCAATGTCTTTTAAACAAATGCGGTTTTTCGTATTGCCAAAGTTGTGACATACAGAATCCTAGACCATGTTTGAAAAAAAATGCCATGTACTTTTATGTGCAAATCACCCCACTGGGAATAGAAAAGGAAAAAAATTAACCAAATCAACAACCCAGAGTAGCAGCAAGCAGGGAAGAAACTGTTTCCCCTGCCTCTCTGAGGAGAGGAGAAAGATTCTTCTACCTGCAGCTCTACCCAGAACAGATGTGGTGCAGCAAACACTGACCTGCCATGGACAATACCACAGGTTTTAGAAAACACCTCTAGCCCCACACATTGTCATGTAACTTTAAGACCAAAGGAATGCATGAGCTTAACGTGGCTTTTCAAAAATCAAATCTCACTTACATTCTTTTGTTTCCAAAAGCAGTGTAAAAGCAAAGACACAAATATTCTTAATATTCTGCCTGAAATGAGGTTTTTGGCAGATTTCTTTCTTCTGGTTTTTGTTTTGTTTTGTTTTGTTTTTTTTGGCCAGAGCCTTCCAGGGATAAAAAAAAAGATGGTCAGATTCCCTGAGAAAGAAGGGGTTCGGTTTTACTTGTATTTTCCTCTCCACTTTGCCTGGGTAGAAGTGGGGAACAAAGTCCTTTCCTGGCACATAAATTTTTTTCTTCCTTCCTGTACGACTCAGATTTTTCTCAGTATTTGTGTTTGTACATTTTGTGGTTAATTTAATTAAAGAAGAAAAGGGCATTGCAAAGTTGTTGAACAACAATTACCTCAGTGCTTGTGTCCAGTGGTGCAGACAATGCTGTTTTAACTAAATGCTTTGCTACTTTAGAGAAGAAACCAAAATGTGCACAGGGAAAGATAGAATGCACGTCCTTTTATCTTTTTGTTTTGCTAAGCCCAAAGATGATATGGTGACGTTTGAGGTGTAGCAAAGAATACATGTATATTTATAGATATATTTATACCACTATACTATATATGTATATGTATATATATTTATACCACTTAAGTTGTGAGCCAAACCATGTAATAAAACTTATTTTTCATCTAAGTGTGAAAATCAAATGTTACCCAGTTTTGCATATAACCAGTGACCTCAAAACCAGAAGGCATTTATCACTTGCAAGTACACATGTGCCCTTGCCCAGGTGGAGCTGGAACTTGCAAACACCTTACGTGAGTGACGTCACCCACGCTGGCGTCTCAGTGAATTCTATGGGAATGACCCTGTTTGCAGGACAGGGCTTGTCAGCCCCCTGCTCTCCCGGCAGTCTGCACTTGGGGGGGAAGGAGGCTGGTGGTCAGTCAACAGACAGCCAGAAAATGTAACTGAAAGAACTTGGAAAGAAGCCAAACACGACCCATGTTTGATGTGGTCACAAATCACAGTAAGGGCAGGAGGGAAGTTAGTTGGGACAAGCCCCTCGTCTCATTGTACCCTGCCATTAATGAGTTGAACGGTTAACTCACATAAGTAGCATTATTACACAACTCCCCTCCATGTATCCTTTTTTTGTCTGGTTATATTCTTACGAAATTTAAAATAGCCCACCTCAGCAATCCAAGATTCAGTGATCTTTTTCTCTTTTTTTTCAGTAAACTTCATTTTAATGGCTTCTGTTAGAAAAACAAACAATCCTGAAATACAAGTCTCTCAGCACAGCTTTTGAAGGACTACAGTTCATTACATTTCCACTTCTGCAAATTGTGAGGCTGACATCTTTTAAATGTAGCAATAGTTCATAAATATAGTACTTAATTGTAGGAAAAACCAAAGTATCACTACTCTGTCACTGGACACACACTTTTCCTATTATTGCCTGTAGTGCTTTCTTGTATTTGATACAAATTTTACAAGAATTTATATGCATCAGCTTTAAGAATTGTTACTTCTCTTTACTGTTTCCCCCTTCCCTTAGACGTTTTACATGTGAATGTAGCAACAATCAACAGTGTTCTGGGGGTTTTTTTTGTCTCTCTTGAGAAAGACTCTGACCAAAGTTAACAGGCTTTTTCCTTTGCTAGAACAACAAACTATCATATGTTTACGTATTGGTTTACATCATTATTTATGTGCAAATTGTCAAATGTAAATTAAATATAAGTGTTCATTGCTTTACTGACGCTTCCCTTGTCTTCAGTCTCTCTGCACTGGGTGGGTGCACAGCCTAGTTGTGGGGCACTGTCCCCTCCCAGCCCCAAATGTGTGCTATGCCGGGGGCAGTGGTATTTCCAGCAATGCTGACTTTTGCCTTTGTGGGTTCTGATTTTCCCTTTTTAAAAGTTGCAAACAGCAATGCCAGAGCCTTAATACCCTTGCCTTAGTTATTTACAACTGTCTCCTTAGTTTCAGGCAGTACTTTTAAAAGACAAAAAGCCAAAAACCAAACACAACAAAAACAACCAAAAAAACCCAAGAATTTTCAGTGTTTCAGTGGACATACTTGAATGCTATCTGCCTTGCAGATATGTGACTAGGGTTCTCATTTACATTTTTCCAAATGATTGTCATTTCTGGCCTGAAACCCTAACCACTGGGACCACAATGACACACTCAAAATGTCAGTGTGAGACCACTTAGTCCTGTCTCAGCATGGTGGGAAATGCGTTCAAAACAAACGTGGATCTGTTGTAAGTGCTCTCAAAGGAGATGTGAATACATACTAAATCCAGGAGAAGGTCAAGTGTCTGTCCCCTTCTCCACCTCAGCCCAAAAGTAACAGCAGGGCAGGATGCCCCAGAAAGCTAATTCAACATTTGCTACTTCCATCACTTACCGAGAGATCTAAACCAGAGAGGCCATGTGCTGCCCTGCCCTACCTGAATGTTAAAGAAATAATGTTCCTGCGCATATTGAGACACTCAGCGCCGTATGATGTTTTAAAAGTATTTCACTGTCCTCTTAAAAAAATTCATTTAAACATCTGTCTCAAGAATTTGAAATACTGCCAACACTGAACTGTGGAGTTAAGAAAACCAGAGCACTATTGTCATAAACGTGCCAAATGCAGCATGTTATATTCCCATATTCGACAGAGCTATTGCTGTAATAATTTAAAAAAAAAAAACACCATAGGATAACCATTACCGCCATAAATCATACTTCATTACTTGGCAAAGCGTTACGTTGCACTGGAGAGTTATGTCCTGGGGACACTTGTAAGCTTTAGAAGATGTTTAATAAAACACATTACATAAAAAGACAATGCACGTTATAGATCACAGCCTCGCGAGGCTGAGCCCGGCAGCTGCTGCCTTGGTTTCTGGCAGCCCCCAAGCCTTTTGGAAGCTGCTGAAGGCGTGTGCTCCGAACAGCAACACAGCGGCTTTCAACCACGGCAACACCACCACCACCAGGTCGGCGAACCGCAACAGTGTTAGGAAGGTGAAGGGGGGAAAAAGCTCAGTGACTCGGGTGTGCCACAAAATGCAGTCCTGTGAGACCATGTGCCCCCAGCACAGAGCCATTGGCTGCCTGTGGGCAGGCAGGATTGGAGCCCATCTTGCTGCCGTCAGTGTGAAAATGTTGGGGGATCAAGCATGTTGGGCAATGTGGCCTTGCCAGCTGAGCTGCTTTGCCACAGGATAGGACGAATTACAGCTGAGACAGACTGAAGCACGGATGTAAGGAGGATCCTGTCCTTCTGGCTGATTTATGAAGCCCAGCGTCTCTCAGCTGGGTACTGGGAGAGACACCGCAAATTCCCAGTGCGGGCAATTATGGCCTTGAGGTCGAAAATGAAAAACGTGACTCACTGAGGGGGTATGACCCTTTGGGTTCAAATCAGTGGCTGCCAGTGCACGGCTGCGTCTCAACACGTGCGCGTGGGATGCGGCCCAAAAGCTTTGCTGTCATTCAGAGGTGTTACGTTTGACTGAGGGAAATAGTTGTGGCTGTAATTAAAGGCAGCCAGGAAACACTTGGCTAATTACTGCATGAGCTGGAGTTGAGTGGATGCTGTACGGCTAAGGAATGTGCCTGTCATGGGGCAGGTATCTGCAAAACACTGGTTGGCCAGGTGGCTTAAGGGAAACTCACTGACAACACCAAAGTAGCCGCCCTGGCATTGAGATGGAGGTCTCCATCCTCTGTGTGGTGTGGGAGTAGACTAGCAGGGAAAAGGCACCTGCCTAGCCTGGGAATTGGGGGGCACAGGTTGACATTTTGGCAACTTCAACACAGATCAGTCCTGCTAGAACAGCAGAAAAACAAGACTTCTTGTCAAAGATGTGACAATTCCCAAAACCACAAGGTTTAATTTTTTATTAGATGCTAAAACAGGCCCATCCTGCAACCAGTATGATTGCTGCCCTTCCCGTTCTCATGAGCAGCATGTGGAAGAGCTGGCAAAGAGCACACTTGCACATCCATCGAGGCCGCCTTTGCACTAACTGTCATCAATGACAGAAGGCTCCAGAGTTTCCAACACATTGCATGAACTTTTGATCATTTTTAAGAGGCTGGGGAACTATCCCCAGCAATTCATAGTCGTGGTCAAAGGGGAGAGCCTCACCAAGCCCTTGCTGCCTTGGTACCTACTTCTGATGCAAAGTTGTATTCTTGTCCCATGATAGAGGGGTCAGGTTGGATGCTTGGAGATGCATACAAGCAGCCACTGCCTTCTGCTTCAAAGCCAAAGTCTCCTTATCTCCACCATGACAGCTTGCAACTTGCCATGAGTCAAATGGTGCTCTGTGCAGGAAAACCCAGCCAAGGAAAGATGAGATGCTTTTCCACCTCCAGGCAGCACAGGCTCTGCTGGCTCAAGCCATTCAGTTCTGCAAACTTCAGCCTGCACATGCTCACCCAGGAAAGGCCCCTGAGACACAGCCTGGGCTCCTGAAATGTCTTATCCTATGCTAATGTTGTCCCACCACTCAATATAAAATTACCCTCAGTGCCCTCTTTTAGAGCAGGGCAATGTGCCAGACAAAGTCTGGAGCCTGAACATCTGTCTCCTAGCACTTTAGAATCACCTGCCAGTCATCACATTTAGCCAAAAACTGCTTTCTGAAGCTGGGGGCTAAGCAGACTGGCTGTCACAATAGGCAAGCCAGGGAGCAGAAGCCCAGCAGTGGGGCAATGAGCTGCAGTCACTGGGCAGGCAGCACACACCCCTGGGACCTGACCCTCCCTAGCAGGGACCAGCTGAGCTGGCAGGGGGGAGCTCTGGCACAGGGCATGCATGAACTTCTGCTCCTTTTTGACACCAGAACTTGGGGCAGAAGTCTGTGCCTGAAGAATGGGGTCAGGCAGCACTGGTGTGGGCATTGGGCAGAGATCTGTAAAAAGAGATTCCCAGACTTCTGAGAAAGGGAGATGCTCACTCAGAGCTCTCTCTGCCCCATGAGCTGGCAACCAGGCACCTTGGTGACATTCAGGCACAGTGGCCCTTCCTTCCTCCTCCCCAGCTGCACGCAGAGAGATGGTTGGGATGCCAAACCACTCAGGTAGGTGTGACCAAATAGCCCTATTGAAGGGAGCAAAACCAGTATGACTTCCTTATTGTGCAATGATTAATAAAGGCTTTCAGCTCTTTTTCTCCATTAATTGTGAATAAGCAAGTCCTTGATCATTTCCTTATCCAGGGACCAAGTGAGATTCCTTACAGCATTCCTGCTCCAGTGTGGCCACACTGTACTGAGAAGAGAAGCGATTCCTGCAATATTGAAACCAGGCACAGTAAAATGAGAAGCTGAAAACCTCTTTCCCAGTTCACCTGTGATGAGGACTTGGGTGTCACAATGTGGTACTTGGTGTTAGGGAGATGCCAGTGTTTCTGCCTTTACCAGTTGAGGTTTACACTAAATCCTAGCTTAAATGAACAAAGTGGACAGCAGCTTTTGTGCAGAAAGAGAAGTGTGGCAGACAGAATTACATGCATGATTTCTTGGATATAGGTTCCCTACAGCTTTCCTATGGCAAAACTTTCTGTGTGAGGACTGTCCCTCTGTGAAGCACAGGAGATATTTTTTTCCCTGCTGCTTTCCTTAGTCTACCCTGTGCATTCAGATGGCCTTTTGTCTGTAAAGGACAGGTCCCGTGCATCTTCACAGACCAGATCTGCTCTTCTTGTCAGCCTCATAGCCCCATGCAGAAATTCTTTACTAAGAGGGGAAAGTTTGGTTTCTTCTGGCCATGCTGGAACCGTGTCCCTACATGGGGACAAAGTTAAGTAGGCTGGGTGGTGTCCTGGAGAGGTCTCACTTTACTCGCAACCAGTCACGAAAAAAACAGAAGTTAAAAATGTTGTAGAAACTGCAGTCAGATGCAAAAGGGAGCAAGGGTACATAAAAAGTGAAAATTTGCCTTTTTAATAAGCCATTACAAGTTAGTTGGGTGTTTAGGAGGGAACATGCGCTGGTGCTTATAAGTCATTCAGTGAAGATTCTGTGTATGTGTGTGTGTGTTTTTAATGAGACCAGAGGGTGAAGAACAGTGCTCTTTTTCTAACCTTTATTGCAGCAATTTGTGCATGTCTGTAGCTGTGGGTGTTATGTGCTTTCTACTCTGAGTGGTAAGTTTCAGTTTGATTCTGCTCTCGAGAGCTGCGGGGACAGTTTGCACTTGCCTTATCAACACAGAATCCAAATTGCTTTACGGTGCAAACAGCCCCCTGACACTGCAAACTGAGAAAATATGCTTTAAGCACAGAGAAGCAAGAGAGGTGACAACCAGAGGGCTTTTTCTCAGCAGAGCATCCCAATCTGCCAAAACCCTTACAACCAATCAGGAGGACAATAAACTACCTTGAAAGCCACAACCTCGGTGCCACCTTGAGAGGTCCTGGCCAGGACCCCAGAAAGCAAAACCAGGATCCCAGGGCTGGGGTTCTTTTCGCACATCCTACATCCCTACATTACCTAAAACCCTGCACCACCTCCATCCTCTTGCACTGATGCCCCACCACTGGAGACCCAGCCTGGCCACTGCAAACTGGGCAACTTCAGGAAGTGCTTGCCCACCCCCATCCCTCTTTGGGCTGGCCCTGAGCAAGTCTGGCTGCAAGCCACTGACCAAAATTGTTCCCATGATTAGAGACTGCAGCAAGGGAAGGGCAGGGCAGGTACATCCATGGCCCTTGGGAAGCACGGTTC